CCCCCCCCCCCAAACCGTCGTCACGACGCGCGCCCAGACGGCCGAGTCTCGCGTGCTATGCCGCCAGGAGGGCCGCAGCGACCTTGACTCAAGACAGGGACGACCCCGCAGGGATGGCCAGCGGATTTCGAACCACAGCGCCGGGCTTGGCACCTTCTGGTAGGTCGTGGGGGCAGCCGCGCAAGGGCCGAGGCTGAGTCCGCCCGGCGCCTTGGCGGCGGAATTCCGAGGAACAATTCTGAGGCCGAATCTTGCGTCCATGTTCGACAGGGAGGGGCGAATCGCCGCGGCCGGCGGCCGCGGTCCCCAGCCTCCAATGTAGGAGGGGTCTCTACCCCTCCCCCAACGGTCGCCGACCCCTCCCGTCCGCCACCGCCACCGCCGCCCGCCAAACGCCAAGCGGCGCCCCGGCGACTCCAAACGGTGCACGAAAGGGCTCCCGAACCTCTACACGCAAACTAAAGCGTATCCCCCCCCCCCCTTTCCCCCTTCTCGCGCAGGGAGACTCCACGCCGTCTTTCCAAAGCACGCAAGAGCGTTCCGGGCGTGCTTGCCCGGAAAGAAGTCCCCACACTTCGCGGCCCACTCTCCCCTCGAATGGTCACAAATTTTTGCCGCACGGGGCCGCTTCTCTGTCACTAACCTCCTGCCGGCGCGGCGGAAGACCGCGTGGAATTGATGGCGAGCTCCGGCGGGAATCGATATCCCCGGGCCAGGCTCAGGTTGGGCGTCGCGCTGGCAAGGGAGCTCTCGGGCCCGACGGTTGGACGGCCGTCGCCACCGTCATGTGGCATCCCCCTCGGGCTGGGCGCCCCAGATCCTGACACCACCTACCGACCCGTTGACCCCCCGTTGTCAAACCCCACAAGTCAACCATCACCACTGACCCATCACAGTCAACCCAACAGAGTTGACCTGTCAAATGGCCCGAGCCGACCCATCGGGGGCCCAGCGACAATTTGGCCAAGTGACATTCTGGCGAAGTATCGTAACCTGTCAGATGCGTAGAAAAGTGCTGATACACCAACTCTCGATGCGGCTGGCTGAACACGATACGGTGTGAACTTCGCCTGCTTGGCTGCGGCACCAACCTCCTGGGTGCGAGCAAGGCGAGCGCGGCGAACGGGGCACGGGGGCCGCCCTGATCTTGGACATGCTGGCGCCAAGGCCGATCTTGCCACCTGAAATCGGGGCTTGGGTGGCTGGGTCGTGAGGCCGACGGGAGATCCCCTCCGTCGTTCTTGGGGCCTACATTTTTCGCGCAGGCGACGAGAGCGCGATGCTTCTCAACGGAGCTCTGAGCCCCTTCACTTCGGCGCAGGCTTCGCAGCCTGCCCAAACTACCGCTGGCTATATTCGCTGGCAGTTATGGTGCTTGAAGCCAATGCTCGTTGGCCAGTGAATTTGACTGCCGTCACGGCACAAATCTCGATGCAGAAAATGGGCTCGGTGCCGCTGCAGCAAAACGACCTCGCTGGCCACCGTTTGCGCTTGAGAAAGAGTGTGCAAGGCCCCCCGTGCAGGTTATCAAGTGTCTAACGTTCTTCTTGCGTGGTGCACCCATCGACCTCGCGCCAAGGCCAGATCCGTGCGCCCCTGGTTGATGGGCGCAATACGAGACAGCCGCATATCACTTGTGAGAATTCCAGCCGGAATCCGCTTGCAGCCGTGTGTCTAGATCGTCACTCAACGGTGCCGCAACCGCGAGAGCGCCCGTTGGGAGCCCCCGTTATCCGCCCACAAGGCCACTCTGACTTCATGGCGGATCGGCAAACGGGTGCACTTTTCTCATCACAGCGCTGCACCCGACAGTCGCGGCTGCACCGGGGGGTTCTGATACGGGCTTGGCCAGAATGCCACTTGGCCAAATTGTCACTGACCCCCCATCAGCTGGACCGCGCTGTGCGTTGCGGTGCGGGGGGCGCTCACGCAGCTGGGGCTTTTGGTTGCTGTACTGGAGGCGGGTGGGGGCTTAGTCACCAGGAAGTCGAACCGGGGTTGCGTGAGCGCGGCGCCGCAGGATGCTTGCGGAAGACGACGTGGTTGGTTCCGAATCTTCGCGCGTGTGGTGTGCAACGGGCCGGGGTTAACCTATACCAGTTGAAGCCTCACCTAATAGGTGAGGACTGGAGGGATCCTGGATGCCTCACGACTCCATTGGTCGCAGTCCCTGGTTGGAGCGCGGAGGAGAAGTCGCCTGGAAACGCAACTAGAAAACGAAGCTTCTGCGAATACCATATTTACCCAGTATTAATACTACTAGTATAATATTAGTAAGCGTGTATTGGACCCCAAAATGAGCGGTGGACACCAATAGTGGGTCATGGATACAAACCACTAGGAAAAAAGGGCCAAACAACACGTGCTCAAACGCGTACAAAGTTTACGGGTTCGGGTTGTTCCGTGTTTTTAGAGTGCATAACACTGATGAACTCATATAAATGTGTTCGAAAAAAGCGTTGTTTGGTCCTTTGTTGCTAGTGAACGTGGTTTGGACCCGCAGATAGGGCTGTGGATATTAAAAGGGGGTGGATACTAATATCAAGTACACACGGTGTGTAAAAAGTTCGGGAAATTTTTGAAGCAGTGCCAAAATGCTCAACACAATTCGAAATGAATTCGAGATAGTTTCGAGTTAATGCCCAAGCACTCAATTTTGCAAGTTGTTAATTGGATGGATTCTTGCCGCTCGGGCAGTCAACTTGCTGAGGGCCCCCTAGGTTTTTCATTCGCAAGACTTGGCTCGCCCGCCGCCCGTCCAGTCCATCCAGGAACGTTCCCGAACGGAAGTTTTGCTCATTCGTTTCAAATCAATTCAAATTTCGAAGCAGAACATGTGACAGACCGTCGAACGCCCGCGCTATGCAAAACACAAGCACAACTGCCAGATGAACATAACCTCATTATTCAAATCCACAACACAATTTCAGTAAAGTGGTACAAGCAAGTACTGAAGCTTTTGGCACATTTTCTTAAAAACTGGACATTCTTAAAGAAGGTTGCATTCGCATTATCTCAATCGGGCACGTTCTTCACATCGTGTCTGCGTCTCCAAGAGGCGGCCCAGGGCCCTGCCCCTGACGTCGGCGTGCAGGTTTTATTTTATATTAACTAGCAAACTACTGCTAGGGAGGCTCCTTGGAAAGGCCGCATAAACCGAGTGCATGAAAGAGCTCCTCCGAAAAAGTCCTCATTTCCTGAAATAGCGTTTTCTGAGCCCACTCAAAGTCTCACCAAATTATTGCTCCGCCTCTTCCTTTGAACGTTTCAAAACGGTGGTTACCACCGAAAGAAAAATATTCAGCCTGTTATGAAGCCACCAAATTCTCCACAAAAATTATGATCTAAATTCAGCTTCCCGTTCGCCACCGCTCCTCTTTTTGTAATCCCTTATGGACGCCGCGCAAGACCCCTCCGGAAGCGTGGTTGCGATTTTCATCGCAGACAAGAGGTCAGAAGAGTCAAGGAAATGCAAACTGAACACTGGCAGAAAAACGTTCGCAGGTGACCCATGAAAGCCCCAAAGGAATCCAGCGCCAGCTCGCTACCAAAGAACATGCCAAAATGCCCGGACGCTGTGGAGGAAAAGAGGCACCTAAAAAATTTGTTCCAGTGAGGCCCAGAGGCAGCACAGGGATATTAGCTACGCCAACCGTTGAGTTCATTGGGTTTCGAACCTGGGTTCATGCGCCAGCGCTGCTGCACGGAGCATCGCCAGCGCCGCATCCTTCCAATATAGGTACAACAAAGAAGTGAAAAAAGAAAAAAAGACTGCACACGGCATGCTCGCCCCCCGCCATACGTGCCCGTATCCCACCTCAAACAGCCGCATATGTTGTGGGCGCGTGATGCGCGTGGGATATCGATTTTGACGCGCATGTGATATCATACTCAGCACCACCGTGGCGAAAATTCAGCGAGAAGTATCCCCCTCCCGCCGCTTCTGAGGAAAAAAGCAAAGCACCCCTTTTCCGCCACTCCAGTGGACACAAAGCCAATCCGGAGGGCTGACTTCCAAAGCAAAATATGCTCAATTAAGTATAGGCCTGCGTAGGCGCAATTCGAATTGCGCTGATATCGTTAAAAAGTCAACGGAAAGCGTTGACTTTCAGCGGAACGCGAATACGTAGCCGTCCTCCGTCTCTTCCAGGTTGAGCTCGCCGCTCCTTTTCCTAAGCGGTCCGATTTTCTTGACCGCGTCGACGGGAATTTGACCGCCGCCTACGGGCCCCGCGACGCCGGTTCCCACCAGGAAGAAGTGCCGCTTCAGGCAGTGGGGCGTGACGTCATCCTCTCCCAGCCTGAAGGGACCAAGCGTCACGCGAACTCCGGATCTAAAAGGGCAGATTTTGAAGACCCAAGTCAATTTCACTTAGACATTTCAATAGAGGACATTTAAATTGCATATAGATTGAAAATCTAAACGTTGGTCATTTAATGCCAAAATGCACTTTCGGTTAGCAGAATTCATTGTATAATCAAGGAGAGGAATTGAGACTTCAAGAGGAAGACAGCGCATGCCATGGGCATCAACAGTGAACGCTGCGCCGAAAATGGCAGATACGATTCACATACTGACTGAACTACGAGCATCTCCACGTTTCCCGTTTCTTCCCCTTTTGCGCCGCATATTTCACTGATGTTTATTTCAATGGCGACTCCCAATTCGAATCGAAGAAGTTCTCCAGAAATTCGACCCGTCCACGCCGCAGCGTCCTCTGCGTAAGTCAGTTTGATCCGCTCAAGTTGACGGAATTGCGCGAGTGAGTTTCTAGCAATACTTTTTGGAAAAAACACAACACTAATTTGTATTTACAGTACTTTATTATACCGTTTTCCCTGAAAATATCTTCTTGAGGTACGCCGAGTCTGCGTACCTCATACACGTCGTCAACAAGAATGACGCGCTCGTCCACATGTGGTTGGCGATGAGGTACGTCGTCAGCTGCACACGCAGATCCTCGGAATGATCTATTTGATCAACCTGATCCTCGAGATCTTCCTGATCACCCTGATCTAACTGATCCCTCTGATGCGCCACGAGGTCCTCCAGGACTGCCGCGAAATCGGCGCACAAGGGCCGGAAGTATGTCGCCCAGACAGCCTCCTTCATCCACTGTGCGTCTTCGCACACTTGAGTCAGCAGATTTGGTCTAACATCAGCATCCTGCGGCGCCGGCACAAGGAGCGGTCGTCAGAACAGGCGCCTCGTGATGCAAAAGAATGCCTCATAAAGAATAAAAATTGCAATGTGCAAAAGCATTCTGCGAGTTTAAAATTGAAATTTTGAAATTCGTAATCGGGAACATTGGTAGAAGTTGATGCAACACCGTGCGTACAGCACCATCGACGCATATGTGGGATTTGCTGCAGCAATGATTGGCGCTGCATCAACGCCAGCGCAGCCGCAATGCCCTTTGAGTTTTTATTCATATTTCTTAGTGTATCTGATTTCATGACACTAGGAAAAAACAGGCCAGTTGACACAGTCCTGACACAGTTCGCTCAAAATCCAAGCGTGTACTTTCGTCAAATGTGGTCCCAAAAGTACACAGTTAGTACACACATTGACACAGTTTCAACCGTGTACCCTTACACAACTGTGTATACTACACGGTTTCCTAGGATGCACGATTAAAACTGTGTCAATGTGTGTACTATATGTGTACTTTTGGGACCACATTTGACGAAAGTACACGGTTGAATTCTGAGCAAACCGTGTCGGGACTGTGTCATCTGGCCTGTTTTTTACTAGTGTGATGTTTCGCTCTAATTATTTTCCAATCGATGCATTAGCGGACAGTGCTGCAGATATGCCGGTGCATTCAGGGTTGGCGATATCTGATGTCTGATGAATTTTCACTTTGTTCTACTGTAATTTTCTCTATTTAGTGGCAACGTCATTAAAATTGTATTTACTGACATAGCCCTGCCTGAATGATGATGCAACTTCCATGTACATGTCACCAACGCCGTATGAGACCGCCAATCAACAACCTTTGTCATTCTGCCTACTGAATGATTAATTTATCAGGTAACATGGACAAAAAAACAGTCAATCAAATAGAAGTCATACGGCGCCACCACATGACAGTACAGGTCCTGTACTGGCGTTCTAACGCCTATTTCTGTCCTATACATGGTTAGGAACTCCATCATCGTTGAAATTCTGTAAATTAATGTCAGAAAAATTCGGGGCAATACGTGCAAATCCTGATAACTCAATGTGCCACAGCTCACAACGGGTAAGGAGTAAAATCGATGATACTAGAGATAGATAGTATAATGAGATGGAAAAATACTGAAAAAGACAGACAACACCAAACGCAACTGGAAGAACTTAGCCTATTTCCTATGTTTGGGTCAATGAAAGAGCAACACCTTGCCCTTCAAAGGAAGCACCCAGCTCAGTACTTAGTGCTCCTATCTTTCATCACAGTAACTACAGCTTATTCAGCTTGCTTCATATGCCACTTTCTCACTTGCATCCTCACAAAAAAACACTGGCCTAAAGCACCATATCAGCGATACCAACTGTGGTGACACTTGTACAATAACTAGGTGGCGCCATCGCAGTGTTTGCACCATCAAAGTAATTGCTATGGCATCAGATAGTGTCCATCTGCCTCGCGGTGCGTATCTCCAAAGCAAGCAAAATATCGGCCAAAATACACGGTTTAAAATATGTTTTTCAAATATAATTCGTGATAAACTTTGCCAAATGTGCCAAAATCATGTACACTCACTCAATCGTGACTACAGTGTGTGGTTCTGTTTTTAGACGATAAGCGCACGACTCAACATGACTTTACACCTGTTAGACCGTGCGCGACTGTCAAACCCTGTATCCTAGCCTGTATTACTGGCGCAAATGGCGCTTTACGCAGGATAAATTTATGGAGCCTACCTCGTTTGGGCACGCCGACGGACAGCAACCCATCCTTGGCGCGCTGTTGTTGTGCACCTCCGCTATGGTTCTGGACAGCAGCGACCCGAATTCTCCGGCCGCGCTTTCTGGAAGGGCCAGGAGGCTGCTGGTCGAGATGCACAGCTCGTTGTCGGAGTTGGTGATGGCGATCTGAGCGACGCAGCTGTCCATGGCCGGGGCGCAAATGCTGGGCACAGGGAAAATTCAGGGTTGCGCCGTGCAGTCCAGTGCGAATACAGCTGGCTTGCGATGTAATTCAAAAGTTAAGTGAGCAGCAAACAGGAGAAGGTGCCAATACATGCTTCAGCAAGTAAAGGCTTCAGAAATAAATACGAAATGTTCAAAAAAGTTACTAATTAAATAAAATGAGCCATTTAAATAGTTCTTTTTAATGTAGATGGAGAAAGATGTCTACATAGCGCTGTTTATGAACTGCAAGGGATTGTCATGAAGATGATTGAAAAGTTGCGTATGTTTCCTAGTCTTAAATGTTTCTTTTTGTTAGGGTGAATGGTAATGTGGAGCGATCGACGAATGCCCTTCCCGGAAAGTGTACTTCATCAGCTGTTGACGTTAGCTATCGCCAAATTTGGTGCCTGCAGGACCCATGTCCATCCAATTGATGCAGCCAGCCTACGATCATGCGACGGTTCGTTTTCCCTGTTCACGGAACTGTCTCATTGTAGCACTTATTACAAAGCTGGGGTTTCGGGGGCTCGCATCAAGTACGACTCTTTTTTAAGCTCTGATGAAATCAGACTCCAAACGCGCAGAAGGGTGAATTCGACTTGTGGCCTTTCTCATCATCATTCTCGCCTTTCTCAACATCAAGAACACGACTTGGGATTTATAATGCAGTCCTGAAAGCCTTAGAAATTGTTGGAAATGGCATTTGCAGGGTTCCGAAGGAAAGCTTTGAAACACCATTTCCTGTTATATTTTGAGCCCTCTCTTCAAAATGTAAATGGAGACCACAGCCGATGCGGTGCTGTCCAGGCTCCACACGGAAGATGAGTTTGGATTCTCATTTGGGAAATTTTGCAGTCTACTTTGTGCTTATTGGTCGGAAGGCGTTTTGGTCGATTTGGAGTTATTCATGCTGCTGTTTTGTTTTCATAATAGTTCATTGACTTGCTCATGCTACGTGATATCAAACACCATGTGCAACATGGAAAACGAAAAGGACACGCCGTTGTTTCATGTTGCGTGGCAGCAGGGCCATCGAAAGCCGACGTGGAGCAACGGTGGAGTTCGTTGAGCCCCGCACCAAATCTATCATCAGGAATATATAACATTCTTGAATAATTCTTAGCCACGAATCTACCGGTACTGACGCTCAATCTCAATCACCGAAACGACTACATAGGCCTCCAAAAGTGAGCAGAGATTGCGTGGAATACGCATCTTTGCTTTCCCCACAGCTGGCCGCTCACCTCACCACTCTCCCCTCTCCGGCCATTATGGTTCCCCCCGCGAGGACTTGTTCACCCCTCCTTAGCTCCACCCTCAGGGTTTCCTTGTCGCGCAAATCCCGAGACAAGTGGATGTCCACGCAGCTGTCGCTGCCCGCCACGAGGCACGGCGGCTCTATGAGAGCCACATCCGGGCAGGACGCGGCCGCGTGTGACCGCCGCATGGCGCCTGGCAACGCCCACATCACAGCGCGCCTCTCAGCTCTCCGCCCTACAGATCTGTTTTACAACAGTGGCCATTGCACCACCCTCTGCCCTTGATCAAAACCATGCTCATGAGCAGAGGATGGCGCAACGGCACTGTGCATAAAGCGGCGAAACATCCACGTTTCGACTCGTCGCTCCTTGCTGCTTTTGTTATCTGGCCGCGCATCATGCAGCATCGCCAAGGCGTGCTCGAATCTACGAGGAAAGCTTGAGTCTCCGCGGCGCTTCCCAATCACCAGGAGGATCTGAATCGCCACGGTTCACGCCAACTTGCATGGAGTACACGAATCGCCATGGTAAGTGCGAGTCTGCATGGAGTGTCTCAATCGCCGCGGTGCACGCGAATCTGCATGGAGTGTTTGAATCCCACCTGCGCAAAAGAGCGCCGCGGCCGACCGCGTCGCGGTGCTGAAGGCCGCCAGCGCCCTCTTCGCCTTGTCCCGGCAGCGACCGGCGTCTGGTCCCTGAGGCTCCCAGGATCGGTAGGGCCGGGGGATTGTTCCTGCATCGCGACCGTCCGGGTAAACTGCAAATTCGAGTTAGTCGAATGCAAATGCATTCGGATGCATTTCGTATTCAATCGAGTTTGGCCAAAATTGTCATGTGCAGAGCGCTGGATGGCGCGAAGGGATAGGCAGAAGGCGCAGCGCATTTTTCAAAGACAACAGTCCAGCAAACAATGACAGCAACAGCACAAGGCTGAGATGGCGTGCTTCCTTCCATTTCCAACAATGTTCGGTCTGCCATTGACGATGCGAACAGTCAGTGATTAGTGAATGGCACTGTTTCAAATTTTCAACAATTCAAAACGAATGGAGCATTTGAACAAATTTTGCAAGGCTGCCTGTTTTTTGGCCAGCGACGTCGAACCCTCCCGGCGCCGGGAGGCCCCGGCCGCACCCACCCACCGAAAGTGATCAGGTACCTGAGGCCCCCTCTAGGATAGCCGAGAACGGACGCTGCAGCCGCTCTTCGATGGAATGGAAACAGAAATTGGAATAAGAACATAATAGGGAATAACTGGAATAATAGGAACAATAGGAATAATAGGAGCAATAAGGAACAACAGGAATAATAGGAGCAATAAGGAACAATAGGAATAATAGGAATAATAGGAACAATAGGAATAATAGGAATGATAGGAACAGTAGGAATAATAGGAATAATAGGAATATTAGGAATAATAGGAATAATAGGAATAATAGGAATAATAGGAATATTAGGAATAATAGGAATAATAGGAATAATAGGAATATTAGGAATAAAAGGAATAAAAGGAATAATAGGAATAAAAGGAATAAAAGGAATAAAAGGAACAATAGGAGTAATAGGAATAATAGGAATAGTAGGAATAGTAGGAATAATAGGAATAGTAGGAATAGTAGGAATAGTAGGAATAATAGGAATAATAGGAATAATAGGAATAATAGGAATAATAGGAATAATAGGAATAATAGGAATAATAGGAATAATAGGAATAATGGGAATAATAGGAATAATAGGAATAATAGGAATAATAGGGATAATAGGGATAATAGGGATAATAGGGATAATAGGGATAATAGGGGTAATAGGGATAATAGGAATAATGAATAGGAAACCTTTGAATGTTTCCCATTCAGGAACAGCACTCCATTCGAACATCAACGGCATTGGAGCGTGATGGCTCAGCAACACCCGTGGGCTTCGAAAGCCTTCTTTGCTGGCGTTGCCTGGGGTGGCTCTCAACGCGACGAACAATAGGGGCGCCAGGACTCAACGTGCGAGGGACGGCCGCTCCGCCCTGGCGGCCCCCAAAGCCGGCAATGGGGATGTGATGCACCGCACGAGCAGGATCGCGCACCGCCCACAGCCGAACGCGCCGTTGGATCCCGCAGCCGGCCCAGAGGCCAGCCGCCTGGCTCCCGGCGCCAACCTCGCTAGCAAAGGGGCGGGAATCCCGAAACAGCCTTCGCTGCTACCGGACCAGAATGTGTGTTCCGCATTTTTTGGCTGTAACAACTCGCCGGGAAGCCGATGGAGCCTTGGTTTCTCTGGGAATGTCTCCAACCCCAAGGCCCCTGCCTCGCAGCGTCCAGTCGCACCGCCTTGAGGTGCTTTGCAGGGGCGCGTTTTCTGGAGTCCCAATCTCTGTCAATGTCGCCGGATTTCCCCGTCGTCGATGGCCTTGACTACCCCACCCCCCCACCCCCCCTTGCGATGAATCCCGCCCACGCTGCTGACCCCCAGCCATCCTTCCGACCCCTTTCGGCGCGTGGCGAGCAAACAGCAGCCCCCATTGCCGCTCAAACAGGAGGAGAGTCCTTGGGACAAGCCGTGAGGCGTGGGCGCATCAAGGCGGGGGGGTTTCACCATTTGCGTCGTATTGCCGCGCCGGTCCTCCCATCACGAAACCCTCTTCCCGCCCATCAGCTCCGCGCGATGAATGAGCCGGCCACGCGGGGCGGTACGGAAGGTTTGTACTTTACGCTCTGCGTTACGCAGGCCTGCCTGCAGAGTGATTGGGCCCCACCGACGTCCGCACGTCCTGAGGCGGCCCCCTCCCCGAAGCTGTGGGCCGCCGCCGGCGCCCGGCGGGTCAGTCTGCGGATCAGTGGGGGGTCAGTCCGTGGGTCACTCCGTTGACCGGGGCGGCCATGCCCACGGCCAGGCTCGGAACATTCGCTCCCGCCCCGCAGCCCAGCGAGGGGGCGCCGCGGCCAAATCGGCGACGCACGTACAGATCGAGCGGCATATTCTGAACGATGGCGTTCGACATGAGCGCCCCACGCCTTCGGCGGGTCTAACGGGCGGATGGCATGATCCCAAAGTCGTCTGCGAGGCGAGGGCTGGGGGTTGGGGTTCGGTCACCGTTGATGGGCTGGGAGGTCCACGCGAGGCAGTCGCGGCGCGCCGGAGCAGCGCGTGAGCAAGCCGGGTCGCGGACGGACAAGCTTAGACCAACCGGAGAGAAGTCCTAGCGTCAAAACCACGGCCACGCCCTCCCACACCCTCCCCACACACCCACACCCAGCCCACACCCAGCCGCCAAAAAAACTGTACGGTATGCGTCACCGGGGTCGCGATGGTGTGGGAGCAAGCCGGCACTCTGGGCTGCTGGGCGCCGTCACCTTCGAGGCGCGCGTCCAGCTCCTCGGTAGTCGTGAATGAAGCGCCGGCCGTGCGCGGCGTGCCTTCAGCCGCCGGCCCTGCATCTCCCGCCTGCGCCATGGAACTGTATCGGGATCACCCCCCAGAGAAGGGGGGCGAGAGTGTGCGGGGCAGGCTCCGAGCTGGCGGACTCCGGCGGCTGGCTTGAAGCGGCGGGTTGTGAGGAGAGGGTGGGCGGGTGGGTGGGGGGGGGGCATGAAGACGTCCTGGCCAGGGAGTAAATACCTCCCGACTTTGGGAGGCGAAGGACGCGCGGCATGACATCACGGACACATGCCTGGCACACTAATCGTTGGACGGTGGGCCTCACGGCCCGACTTATGTGGGCGGCGTGCCGCGCGTTGTAGGGACGATGACGGGCGCCCCGCTCCCGCCCGGGCCCGAAATCGACGGAGTCGGTGCTTCCGAGGATTACAGGGGGATTGACGCCCGTCTGGGGGCAACCGCTGGGTTGGGAATCTCAAGTGGCCGTTTCCACAATGTTCGGAGGTGTAGTGCGTCCGACAGAACCCCGCCGCGCGCACCCCCAACGGCGGAGTGAAAGGCGTCTGCAAACGGAGGTTCGCGGTGGTAATGCCGGCGGCGCTGCGCCTGAAAGACGCGCGTCAGGGTGCGTTGAGGCGCGGCAGACAGGCGCCTCGGGCGCCACAGGACCGTCCTAGGAAACGGTGGACTGTGGGCTGGTGTGCAACACGCCCTGTACTCCATGTACTTCATGTGCTCTGTGTACCGGCGTGGGGTGCGGTAGAGCGTGCTGCAACGCCGTCGTGGTTGCCATCAGCGTTATGGCACTTCGGAGCAGCAGATCGCAGACCACTTCATGGCTGACGAGAGGCCCCTCGTTGCCATGGAATCCGTACTAAAATTCCTTATTAGGGATCGTTGCAAACTCGCAGTGATCTTTGCTTGCAACGATCAATCATCTTTAAGAACGCAAGTTTGCTGACCTGCTCAGGGCCATCACAACGCGCTCTTACCGTCAGATGCTGATTCAAGCCGTGACGTCTCGAGCTCGACGTATCGAATATTCGCAGTGTTCGAGCTTTTGTGGCCATCCAACTGCAAGGTGGGAGAAAATTCTATGGACGTAACCGAGGGGAGGGCGGCAATTAGTAGCCAACGAATATGTGATGCTCAGGTTGTCTTTGGAATGTTAGGTTGGACTTAGGTGGTGCTGCGGTACATCGCGATAGGTTAACGGCCTGTTTGGCGCCCGAAGCATGTGCTTTCTGCGCTATGTGCACCTTTCAGCGCTTCGCTTCTGACAGCCAACCGGCCTCCGCCCACGTCTGCCGGTTTCCGTAAATGTGAGTCCCCCAACCGCTTTGGACTGAGGCATCTGGAACATTTCCTGCCGGTGGCGCCGATAGCCCGCCCTCCCTTCCCATTTCCTGCCAACGTCAGCGAAGGCTGAGCGAACTTTTTTCTTCCACCTCCCAATAGATCTGCCAGGGGGTACTGTAGGGCCGGAATGTGTTTCAGTATGTGTACATACTAGCAGCTGTGAACACGCACGTGATGTACGCGTTGCTCATACAGATGCGTTCGCCTTTGCTCAGGCGAGAGTGTGGAAGCTGTGGAAGCGCGCAGGTTTGTGTATTATTCGTTGCCTTTTTTTGTGGAACACCAAAGTACTGTACCATATTCCAGAGCTCCAGGTGTCGACCCCGTCTCAGGAGAGGAGAACGTGCTGTTGATGTTCTTGTTAGACTTGGTCTTCATGGCCTAAACATGTGCAATTTACCCATTTGTATCTGTAAGATTAGTGATACGTTTTTACGCCTAAAACGCGTAAGGTGCATAAACACGGTCCCCGTGTAAATAAAGCCAGTACATGCAGACTCAAGGAGTTGGGGGAATGGCAGCCAGACGCGCTGGAGTAAGCAGAGGACGACCATTTGTTCTGCGACGCCGTTGCCCTTGCTGAGGGCGATGTTGGTTTCGTTTTGGGGGAGGTTGAATGGGCGCCGAAGCGATCATTGCCTGTGACTTCATCATGTAACCTGGGTTTGTCGACGCGTCGTAATCGTGGGCGAACATGGCTGCTGAAATGGGCGCTTCTCTGTGAGCGCTAATTTTGGTGTGAAGACGTGAACGCAGAATGCTGGAACGAAGGTAAATGAAATAACAAGCCTGGTCCCTGGCCATCACAAATTCATGTTCTAAAACGGAGTTTCACCGTTGAAAAGTGGCCCTCGATACTGGCGAACTGCCCTTGAAACAATGGCTCTTGGCGTCGGCGTTTATCAGCCCTCCAGCGAGGTATCTTGATGCAACATTCCCAAACAAGCAGTGTTCCAGCAATGCTGCATCAACGATCCACTTATTAGCCCGGAGATGCATCCAGAAATTTGACAGGCTTTGATGCACCACTGACAGACTCTTGGATCAACGCAAGCCTTCAGATCTCGTGTCCGTAGAGCGGCGTTGATGCAATGGCCTGTCGGTGTTGTATCATCGCCTACCAGATTTTCGGATGAAGAAGTGACGACAAGGGAAAGGATAGCAGCTCAGTCGCCCGCCATCAGCTATCCAACAGTTTCCCAGCCGTGAATCTCATCCAGTAAATGTTTGCAGCTCTGCCCAACTGTACAGTTGTTCATTCTGCTGTTAATACTCGGCCTGGCACATAAAATACCTGCACACACTCCATGAGGAATCTGTGCAGTTACTTTCAGCACCAGTACGAATATTAAATGTACAATACACTGTGGTCACACAGTGTGTTCACTGTATGAGCACTGAATGTGTGCACTAACATTTGCGCGATACACCTCTCAGTCGATGACCAATGCACGCTCTGCATTCTTCTGGAACCCAATTTGCCTCATATTCATCAAAATTAGTTTGCAGCCGCAATTCCACAACAAATGTTACATCAGTGAAATGCATGCACAGGAAAACATGGACGCACATCTCCAATAGGAATATTTTGTCCCACAGAACAGAAGAATCCCTATGTACTGAAAACATTATACTTGCGTTTGGTAACTTTCTGCGTGCCGAGCTCAAATATTGCCGAGGCGCGACAAATGGATTAAGTGGCGGCAAAATACTGGCGGTCAAGCTATTCGCAAAGTGATTGTGAAAAGATTTGAAATTAGAAATAATTGACAATGGAAATTCCAAAAACTCTTTCAGTTGGTGCAGTAATTATATTCGAAACACTGCCTGGCTGATGCGCTTGCCAGCCGCATATTCTCTCGCAAGTAAGCCGTGGCGGACAGCACACTCACAGGCACGAATAAATACCACAATGAAAAATACCACTTTTTTTTGCGATGCCAACTGCGATGCCATTTTGACGTCGAGTGGCGCCGTCAACGCGCCTAAGATGTAAAATTATCTTTGACCAAGTCAATCTGTGTCAAACGGAATCGCATTTGGCGTCGCCAAGATCTCGTTTCCTACTGGCGCTGCATGTGGCATTCGCATTTTGAGTGCATATGACACTTTGATTCGAAATTCAAGCCATACATCGTTCACCGGCGCCCGACCATCGCAGATCGTCAACCTGCGCCTACTGATGCGGATGCCAAGCTCTGCAATATGGCGGTCCAGGAGCGCCATGGCCGATCTTTCGACTTTGTAACTCAAAACTTCGAACATTTACATGGCGGTCCTTCATTTCTCGCTCCCGCCTAAATCGACTTGCTCTTTTCCATCCCTATCTCGTTTGATGCCCATCCCCCTTTCGCATTTGGCGCCCCTGATAAGGCCTCCCTACTTATACTAATTGAAGCGCCGATGCCGCCCGGATGCGTTTGGTGAATTTAAATCCAAGTCCACTATGTAGATTTTTTGACGTGGGATGTCCAGGCCATGCACCATTCTTCAAGAAAACAGTAATATAGCCCTAAAATTCAGCAAAATGTCTATGCAACCTGACCAGCACAACACATGTAGCAGCACCCCGTCGGGGTGCCATCAGAAACGCCACCAGAATACACCAATCGAAAGGATCTTGAACTGAAAGAATCACGAATTGAAAGGATCGCTTATTGGTTACGAAATGCCCGTGTCAAAAACCCACCCTCGTGAAATGATGGACTTGAGAAACGCATAGAATCCCCTCCGGCCTAACGCTGCTGAACAACGAAACACAGCCGCAAACCAAGAACAAGCAAGCTCGAAACTCTCCTTGCCCAACCAAGGATCAATCCGGCGGAACCCATTCCCTTGCTGTGGATAAACAATGCATCAGCGGGCTCCATCCATGCATGCACATGCCCCTCCGAGTCGACCTCGCCGGTGTGCCCCGCGCTCACCCGCGCGCGAGGCCAATCTGCGTCGTTCGGGGTAAAATTGGCCCAGCCAAGCTATGTGAGCAACAAGCCTTCAGACGCTTCCTCCCAAATGGGGTCAATCCATACCCAGCCGCGCCCACGGGCGCCCTCCCACCCCCACCCTCCTGGCATCCGACCAAATACTGTTAATAATCTGCCTTCCGCCTCCACTTCCCGAAAGGGGTGAGATTCATAATATCTTCCAAGCCACGCTCATCCGTGCTCGCGCCCTCGCGCAGCCGCTGCCCGCCATCGCCAGCTTGTGAAGTTTCACCCAGGCGCCAATTTCGAGGTGCTATAGCTATTAGCTATTTGCAAATAGCTATTTGCCCATTTGAAAGGCCTGTTCTGTCCTGTAGTGACAAGCATGTGATCGACGGACGTGCGCACAGCCGCAGCATCACGCTCCGGCGGGAAAACCAACCGCTATGGTAAGCTTCCAGTCCGCGCCGGCGCAAAAGTCGCCGTCCGAAAGCGACAGCGTGCTGCTCATTGCGTCCCCCACAGAACTGCAGTCATTCCCACCGGCCGGCCCCTTGGCCACGGCGCACGCCTCGTGGGGCGTGGGCTCCTCCACGCCCAGCCCGGAATTTTCATCCCCGAGCACGAAGAAGTCGTTCTTGAGGCTGTCGGCGTCCAAGTTCTCCTCCTCCAGGGCGAAGGGCCCCAAGGTCACACGGGCCCCGGACCTGAGGCAGGACGTCATTAGGAAGGCCGCCGCGTGCCACATGCGCTGGCACAGGAGGCGCTTCGCCATCCGCGCGCACTCTTCGT